GCAAAATTCTAACATGTAATCTCCAGCATCATTTCTCTCACCAAAGCCATATTTTCCAACTACCGATGCTTCTTTATTTCCAGCTTCTATCACTGATTTTGTCATAGGTTTTGTAATAAATCAGAGTGTATCTGTATGGTGAGTAACATAATATCTGGGCAAACAATGGGTGCTCAATAAATGACAACAATTATTATTACTAATAGCCATAGTAAAATATATACATAAGACTATTACTATACACAGATATAAACATTCCTTCTTACACATATGGTCTGTAATATTATTACTACTACAAATAATAGCAGTAAAGGCAAACCCAGACTTAATATCTGCTCCTGGTGATACTTGAAAGACAAATCATATTAAGTTAAGAGTTGCTTATATTAGAATTTGCAGCTTTACTCTGAATTCTGATATTATGCCACTAAGCTGAGTTCTACAGCACACAAATCAAACCATCAGATCCTTTCTCTTCCCATCTCTCTCTACTTCTCTCCCTCCACTCATTATCAGCACTGATCCCACCATCCTAGCAATCAACAGGTAGAGAATCAGCACTGGTGCTGGTTGCTACCCTTGTAGTCAGGTGCTGCTGAGTGGATTCTGACTCACAGTGACCCTGTGTACAACAAAACAAAACACTGCCTGGTCCTCCGCCATTCTCATAATCGTTGTTATGATGGAGCCCATTGTTGCAGCCACTGTGTCAATCCATTGTATTGAGGGTCTTTTTCTTTTCCACTAACTTGCTACTTTACCAAGCATGATGTCCTTCTCCAGGGATTTCTCTCTCCTGACGATATGTCCAAAGTACGTGAGACAGTCTCACCATCCTCTCTTCTAAGGAACATTCTGGCTATACTTCTTCCAAACAAGATTTTTTTGTTGTTGTTATTCTATCAGACTATGGTATATTCAATATTCTTTCCCAACACCATAATTCAGAGGCATCGATTCTTCTGTGGTCTTCCTTATTCATTGTCCAGCTTTCACATGCATATGAGGTAACTGAAAATACCATGGCTTGGGCCAGGTGCATCTTAGTCCACAACATGACATCTTTGCTTTTTAATACTTTAAAGAGGTCTTTTGCTGCAGATTTGCCCAGTGCAACATGTTGTTTCATTTCTCGACTGCTGCTTCCATGAGGATCCAGGTAAAATGAAACCCACGACAACTTCAATATTTTCTCCATTTATCACAATAAATCGCAATCCTTAGAAGTGGCAATAACTGTTTTGGTGGTTACTATAGAGGGTTTTTTATGAATATGATAAGAGAGATAAATTTTTTAAAAAGTAGACATGGTAATCTTCTCAGCTGCGTGTCATCTGCATTTGTATAGTGCTTTATAGTTCTTACACATAAACATAATCTGATTTGACTTCAAAACAACTCTAAATTAAGCAAGATAAATATTACCATATCTGCTTTAAAATAAGAAAAACAAAACTTCCAAGAGGTTTTGATGATTTACTTAAGGTCACTTACTATGAAGTGATAGAACCAAGCTAGAGACTCAAACTTCAGACTTATAAATTGGTGTTTGTTCACTAGAAATTGTTCTATAACCTGTGGATAAATGCAGCAGGTACATTTTAAAAATCTCTTTATATTTGATATTTTCCTCACTTGAAAAAAGCTGATTCCTTAGAAACGCAGCTTGCGGATCAAAGACTTAAATGTAAAACCCAAAACTATAAAATTCATCAAAGATAAAATAGGGGTAAATCTAGGACCCCTAATTTACAGCATAAATAGACTATCAAACATAACCCAGAATGCACAGGAGGTAGAAGAGAAGCTAGATGACTGGGACCTTTTAAAAATTAAATTCTTATGCGCATAAAAAGACTTTGTCAAAAGGGTAAAAAGAGAATCTACAGATTGGGAGAAAATATTTGCCTATGACATATCTGACAAAGGACTTATCTCCAAAATCTATACAAAACTTCAACACCTTAATGTCAAAAAAGACAGACAATTCAATTCAAAAATGGGCAAGAGACATGAACACACACTTCACTAAAGACAATATTCTGGCGACCAACAAACACATGAAGAATTGCTCACAATCTTTAGTCATTACAGAGATGCAAATCAAAACAATGACAAGATATCATCTCACTCCAGCAATAATAGCAAAGTTCAACAGGACAGAAAATAACAAATGCTGGTGAGGCTGCGGAGAGACTGGAACTCTTGTGCACTGCTGGTGGGATTGTAAAATGGTACAACCATTGTGACATACGGTATGACATTTCCTTATAAAACTGAAAATAGAAATACCATTTGACTCAGCAATTCCATTACTAGGAATATATCCTAAAGAGGTGAGAGGCAGTGTGTGAACAGACATATACACAGCTATGTTCATTCTAGCACAATTCACTACAGCAAAGATGGAAACAACCTACATACCCATCAATGGATGAATGGATAACCAAATTATGGAACATTCACACAACAGAATACTATGCTACATTAAAGAACGATGAAGGATACGCAAATCATCTCACAACATGGATGAGTCGGGAGAACATTATGCTGAGTGAAATAAGTCAACAGCAAAAGGACAAATACTGCATGAGTCCATTACTGTAAAAGACAAAGAAGGGTTTGCTTGAGAAAGGGAACTCACTTTGTAGATTACCAGGGTGGGGAGGGGAGGGGCGGGATTAATTTCAGGGTAGTTGGGGGCCACATGCTGACATGGGTAAGGGGAGGGATGGTATAGAAGGAGTCTGTGACCACCATGATAACATTAGGAAAAGGGAGGACACCGAATTGTGCACAAAAGATATAGACGACAGGATGCTACTACCAACCAATATATCCACAATACTGCATTACCATTAACACCAAACACCAGCCTACAGATAAACACATAAACATCTGAGAAGATCAGATGGTGGTCAGTGAACAGGAGTATACTCTAGACCAAGGATAGATTCAGCGGAGGCTAATCTTGCACAGATACCAGTGATACAAAATACCCACAATCCTTACAGAAACAACGGAAGACAGACATATTGTAATCCCTCACAGACAGCCAGACACTGTAGGAGAGAGATCCAACAGATCTACCGACTCAGGATCATAGTACTAGGGGACGCCAGATTCAATTGGCACAACAAAATACATAAAAGTCTTGTTCATTGTCTTCCATTGGTGAGTACCGACTGGGGTCTTAAAAGCTTTCAGGCGGCCGTCTAAGATGCAGTTAATGGTCTCCTATCATCAGAAGTGAAGAAGAGTGCAAAAAACAAGGGCATTTGGAAACAATCAGCCCTAGGACACTATGGCCCTCGAGACCAGAAGAACTAGATGGTGCCCAGCTACCAATGCCAACCACTCAGGAAGGGATCATAACTGGAGATCCTGGATAGAGTGGGAGGAAAAACATGGAACACAATCCAAAAACACAATAATGACCAGAATTACTGGTTGGATGGAGTCTGGTGAGACCCCCAATACTATGACTCTGGGATACATTCTGGGCCTGGAATAAAACTCACTCCCAGGGACTGGCTCTCAGCCTAATAGTAAACAAGATGTACACACAGACCACTTAACCCAGGGTGCACACCCACATACTCTATGGAAATGCATCCCTTGGAGCAATCAACCACGGGGTACCAGAGGGGCAATATTCCCATGGAGGAAATGCAGGACAAACAAATGCATAACTATGAGGGGCACGTCGGCGAGGGTTACTGGGCAGGGAGGGGAGGAGACTGGGTTAGGGTTGGGGATGGAAAATGGAGAATGAAACTAAATGTACATGGAATGTTGAATGTAAAACAAACTCTGCTCTGTAAACCTGCACCTAAAGCACAATTAAAAAAAAAAAAGAAGAAAGAAAGAAATGTAGCTTGCTTCTCAAATGGTTTTATTTTATTTTGTGAAGTTTATGAGTATGGAATTTAATTATATTTATGGAAAAGTAGTCTCCATAAATTTGATAATTATTATTACTCAAATTGATTTCAATGTCTTCCAGTATTTTAAAGTTTTCTTGAAGAGATTTTAAATTGAAAGCAATATGTACAGTGCAATATATTGGAAAACAATTCAACAGGGACTAGTAAATTATTCACTCCACTGTCCTCACAGATAAATTATTCATAATAAAAATATATATAATGCTTATTGTAACAGTTTAGGGTTCTGTGAAGCCTAATGCCATTTTTGTTTTTGCCAGTTAAAATAATTCAATTCCTTTTTCCTTAAAGGCCTATGTTCTTTGACATATACATTGTCACAATGGTCCTGCTACAGAAATCTATAATGGATAACGTGCTATTTATTGTCCAAGGTGGCATTTCTAGCTCAGCAGGAAGTTCAGTATTATAACATCTTTAAAATTCTGTGGGAGCTCTAGTGGCATAGTGCCTAAGGCATCTGACTACTAACCAGAAGACTGGCCACTCCTTGAAAGGAAGGTTGGGCAATCTACTTCTGTTGTGATACCGCCTCGGAAACCCAAGGAGGGGTCACTATGAGTTGGATCTGACTCGATGGCAATGAGTTTGGCTTTTTTTTTTTTTAATTTTGTACTCTGGCTATCTGACAATACTTACTATTAGGATACCCAGTACCAATTTTTCTACCGAGAAGTTGACGTTTAAACAGATATATTTGTACTAGTAGATAACTATCCTTCCAAATTGCTAGATACCCTTTATCAAATTTATAGATGTATGTGTAATTTTAATTCCTTTCTCAAGAGTAAATAATGTCGCATCTCATATGTTTTATCCTTAAGCAAAATTTCAGAAAAGATTTCTCTTTTAAGATATGAAATTCCAACCTGAAATAAACTTTATTTGTTAAATGGGAATAATGCTTTGGTCACTGCAGAAAGGATTTACACAGCTAATCTTCAACATAATCAGAGACAAAGACTAATTAATCCTTCCTAATCATTAAGTAAACAATGCTTTCCGTCTTATTTTTTGGCTATTTTGCTTTACAACACAAACATAAACACTTACCAAGTGGCAAAAATGCAAGACGGTTTCCAGCCATGGAGAGCTCATTGAGGCTGGGAAGCTGACAGAGATGACGTGGTACACACCATAAACGATTTCGATCCACAGTTAAGTACTGCAGAGAAAGGCACAGGTGAAGCCTCTCGGGTAAAGTTAGCAAACGATTGGTAGAAATGTCTAGTGTCTGCAGCTCCTTCAAATCACCAACCTCTACAACCAAAATCAAAATTAAGATAAATCACATTCTGATTAACTTAATTAATTCAATACATTAAATAAAATGAATCAATATTTAAACAATTCTACCAATAAAATCAGTAGCTGTAACTATTTCCACAGACAGGAATGCCGAAACACAAGATTTAGGTCTAACATGCAAATAATCCAATTTAGGTTAAGTGCCTTTAAATTAGTCTGGCAGAATGTCTTAAAGGGAAAAAAATACTGGCACAGAGAAAGGGGCTGAGAAGGCTGGAGAGACATAAAGTGTGAATTTGAGCCAAAGTCTGTTAATACAGTTTCTGCTGCTTCCTGATGAATGAAAAGTTGTTGCTAGGGCGAGAAAAGGATAATTAAAGTCCCTTTGTGGTACCTGCTTTTTGCTTTTTTTTTTTGGTTTAATTTCTATGTAGATAGCAAGAAACTTAAAAACACAGGGAATCCAGTGAAGTGTACTAAATGAACTAAATATAAGGATTCTGGGCTAAGGGAAGGTTATATATGGTAAGGTATCTTTTGAACAATGTCACCAAGGTAAACAGTACTATCATAAAAATAATTGTTGTTGTTGTTATGTGCCATCGAGTCAGTTCTGACTCATAGCAACCCGACATACTACAGAACAAAACACTGCCTGGTCATGTACCATCCTCACAACCCTTGCAGTACTTGAGCCCATTGTTGCAGGCACTGTGTCAATCCATCTCCTCGAGGGTCCCTTTTTCACTGACCCTTCACTTTACAAAGCATGATATCCTCCTCCAGGGAATGGTCCCTTTTGACAATATGACCAAAGTAGGTGACCAAGTCAGGCCATTCTTGCTTCTAAGAAGCAGTCCAACTATACTTCTTCCAGGACAGGTTTGTTCATTCTTCTGGCAGTCCAACACCACAGTATCCTCCAACACCACAGCTGAAAAGTATCAACTCTTTTTCAGTCTTCCTTATTCACTGTCCAGCTTTCACATGCACATGAGGCTACTAAAAATACCTGTATGCTGAGCAAAAAATCTGAGAAGCTGGACTATAAGAAGAAGAACGCATTATCAGGATTGGAGGAAGACTCATTAACAACCTGCGATATGCAGACAACACAACCTTGCTTGATGAAAGTGAAATCACTGTCAGTTATCTCTTTTTTTTTTTTTTTTTTAAATACTGTCCAGCAGTGTGGCTTCTTTTTGAAAAAAGGAAACTGTTCAAAGTGTACATAGCCTATGAAGATTTACTTTAATTCCCCTGAAATGAAATCCTTCTATTTGCACCAATATCTCCTGGCATTTATGTCTACATCCTACATTTATAATTTATAATCTGTTTCATGGTGAATGCAATTATATATTCATCATCTACCATATCACTAAAGCCAAAGATTGGTAAGTTCTTTACAGGGACAATCACTACAGATAGTCCCTGACTTACAATAGAGTCCCATTCTGATGACTCCTTCATAAATTGGCTCTGATGTAAGTCAAATACCTCTTTTCTTGTTCTTTTCATTATTACTGCCTTTTATTAGTAGCATCTTTTTTTATTAGTAGCATCTTTATAAATTTAATCTTCCTTTGTCTTGGAGGATTGGAAAATTACATATAAACTCAGATATATTTTAATATAAACATACATATAAAATTATACATGCCCATAAAACAATGGATGGCAATGGCATTTTGTCAGTTTCATTAATAACTCCACTTGTGAAAAGTTTTAGATCATCTGGATTATCCTAGGGAATGGGGATGGTGTTTCTATTCAGAAAATTAATGAGAGTTGTCTGCATGATCCTTTTATGCACTGCAACACTGCATGTACTACATTATTACTAATAAGATGTACAACAACAACAACAAATGGTTTTAAGTATGGTTTGTCGTAACCCCAGTACATTATAAATTGGGGATTATCTTTATTAGGCATCTCTGAACAAAGGAAGCTCTGCTAAACAATCTCTAGAGAAAAGACATTTACTCTGTTCAGGGCTATTCAGTGCACTCAAAGCTCTACCATAAGCACTGTGCAGCACAAGTCTACTTCTGCATCACAGCTACTTATTGCCACTAAGATGTAACCTCTCAGCCTTTTCTCAAGTAACGTAAGGAATCCTTACTCAGCTCCCCGAGCTATTCCTTTAGATTGAGGTTTCCCATGCTCCCACCATTTGAATGCACTCCTTTGAGTACATTCCAGTTTGTTCAGGTCTTGGATTAGCATTACAATGTTTTCTCTCTTGATACCAAAGTCTTCTGTCCTCTTGGATACTCAATCAAACAGATTAATTTTTCTTAAATTAACAGAGGCGGTATCAGTAAACGATGGGCCATGGGCCAAATCCAGTTTGTACTGGTTTTGCACTGTCCATAAGCTAAGATTCATTATTCTTTAAACAACAATAAAAACAAAAACATGTGACACAGATCATATGTGGCCTACAAAACCTAAAGTATTTATTATCTGACTTTATATAGAAAAAGTTTACCAGCATCTGCTATGGACTCACAGCTAATAAGAAAAAGAAAGTAATACAAGTGCAAAATAAATTAATTTTTAGGGTTTATTTCCCTAATATTTACAAGGGATTTGCACTCAGAAGTTCACACTCTACTGTTCAATTTCCCCAACACAAAACAAAATACAGATTTGAATACATATCTTCAAGGTCCCTGGGTGGCACAAACAGTTTGTACTTGACTACTACCCTAAGGTTGGTGATTTGAACCCACCAAGCAGCACTGCAGAAGATAGGCCTGGCCATCTGTTTCCATAAAGATTACAGTCAAGAAAACCTATGGAACAGTTCTACTCTGCAATACATGGAGTTGTAATAGCAACAATGGCAACAACTTTCTTTTAACACAGGATTCAGTGTATAGCCTGTGACTCTGAATGGGAGTTTTATTCTACGTGAACCTAACTCACACTGGAGTAGAATTCATCCCAGCTCCATAGGCACAATATTCTACTTAGCTAAACCTGCCTCCCTATCTAATCTCACTAAAAAATTGTTTCTGATTTGGGTTAAGTGAGAGTGAGGGAGTTGGAAGAGTGAAGCTTTATATGTAAATAGAAAGAAAAAAATGAAACAAGAAACCTTTCTGGTTTAACTTTATAAAGTGATAATAGGGGTGAAATGGGACAGAAGTGCAACTAATCAGCTACCCAGCATGCAGCTGGCTGGGTGCCAAGAGAAGGAGACAAGGTCTCTGCCACAGAGAAGCACATTACATACAAGAGATAATGTGGGACAGATGCTCAGAGAAAGAAGAGTTTGATGGGGCCTGAAGAAGCTTTTGCAAGCTTTTCATTGAAGGAGATGGGAACTTGATCAGGTTAGGATTTTGGCAGGTCAAAAGGGAAATGGATATAGCATTCCTAGCAGGAGATGTGGGTGGAATTGAAAGCAATGAGGAAAGGCATGGAGATGAATAAACAAATATATCATATAAAATAGCTCTTTAGGGACCTAACAAGTGTCAAGGACACCAGAAGGAGATGAGCAGAAAATAAGTTCAATACACTGGGACTGGTAAAGACGTGGGTGGTAATGAAAATGGGGTAGAGAAGTTTGGACTTAATGTCATGAGAATACAGTATCTCCTAAAGATTCTTATAGGATGAAAGGACTCTTTTGGAAAGCTTAGACTGGTAAGTATGCAGAAGGCAATGGAAGGAGATTCCAGACTGAGAAACAAATAGACATTAGACTAGAACAAAGGCAGTATGACAGAATTTGAAGGTAAATTCCAGAGATGTTTTAAGAGAAGCATCAAGTAGATGTGACTAGATATGGAAAACAATAGAAAAAAGTTAAACATAATATTAAGGTTTCTAGACTACTATATTCTAAATATGGTGATGTAAATGCTAAAAAATAATTTTTATAGAAAAATAAATATGCATTAATACTTCTGAATGATAGTATCTATAAACCTACTTAAAGTTATTTGAAAAAAATCCATCAAAAATCACATAGGCACAAGCAAAACAAATGATTTCTATCATTTCAAAAAGAATTAAATGTGTAAAAATAGTGTTTGACTTGGCTGCAGAAATTACTAAGGCATGGAATTACATTCCATTTTAACTGAGCTTTGCCTTACTATACAGTGAAAGAGGAAATAATACTGCATTATTAATATCACCATGCTAGCAAAATTTTGCTCAAGATAATTCTAAAACAGGTTTAGCCATGCATTGACAGGGAACTGCCAGAATCTCAAGTCCGATTCAAAAAAGGACGTGGAATGGGGCTATCACTGCTGATGTCAGATGGATCTTGGCTGAAAGGACAGAATACCAGAAAGATGTTTACCTGTGTGTTACTGACTATACAAAGGCATGTGATTGTGAGGATCACAACAAATTATGGATAACACTGTAGAAAAGGACTTCCAGAACACGTTACTGTGTTCATGCAGAGCCTGTACATGGATCAGGAAGTAGTAGTTTGAGCAAAAAATTTGGTTTCAAATTGGAGAAAGCGTGGGTAGGATTATATCCTTTCACTGTAGTTACTCAATTTAAATTCTGAACAAATAATCCGAGAAGCTGGGCTATATGAAAAAGAATGCAGCATCAGGACTGGAAAAAGACTCCTTAACAACCTGAGATAAGCAGAAGACACAACCTTGCTTGCTGAAAATGAAGATGACTTGAAGCACTTAACTGATAAAGGAAGAAGACTAAAGCCTTCCATATGAATTACATCTGAACAAAAAGAAAACAAATACTTACAACTGGACCAATAAACATCATCATAATAAATGGTAAAGAAACTTAAGTTGTCAAGGATTTCATTCTTGGATCAACAATCAATACCCAAGGAAGCAGCAGTCAAGAAATCAAACAACATATTGCATTAGGCAAATCTGCTGCAGAAGACATCTTTGTAAGTGTTAAAAAGCAAACATGTCACTCTTAGGACTAGGTGTGCCTGAACCAAGCCATGGCATTTTCAACTTCCTCATATGCATGCAAAGGTGGACAACGAAAAA